TATGCGTGTGTGCCTGTGGGCGTGTGGGTGTGGGTGTGTGGGTGTGGAAGTGCAGTGGTACTTTTTTTTAATCTTCCTAATAGGATCAGCTAAGAACGGAATAACGTTTTTTTATGAGTTAGGACATGTGTGTAGCTTTGGCAGACATATGAACAATGGAATTGCACTTAACACATTTATTCTTTTATAAGATGAAATGAAAGGATAACACTTAATGTACAATATGGAAGTGTCATTTTGTAATTTACGGATTTGAATACACGTAACATGTGTAATCTATGTAAGGTTGCATATTAAGACCTGCGCCTAATTTCTCATCAACACACTTAAATGCATGCATGTGAGTGTGTATGTGTGTTTGTGTGTATGTGTATGTGTGTGTGTGTGTGTGTGTGTGTGTGTGTGTGTGTGTGTGTGTGAGTGTGTGTGTGTGTGTGTGTGACTGTGACTTTTAAACAGAATCCTATTTGTACTCAATTTAGGTGATTGGTCGTCATCGGATACTAGTTGACATGTACACAGTTGGATACTCCCTCTCTCTAGTCAGTCTGGTCATCGCCGTTGTTATCCTTGTCTCCTTCAAGTGGGTAAAAATGTCTATTTTTTATTTTTATTTATTAAATCTTCATACATCTGGGTGGCCCATTGAATTTTGTCAAATTGATTTCAATGGGGCCCAGACTACAAACACAACAAGAGTTCCACGATCTCATACCTTCGCCAAATGATGCTTATGAAAATAAGATCCTTATTTCAATTCCATTATGGATTATATCAGTTGATTACATTTTCCACCCAATGACAGTCTTATCTGAACAGTGAAGACTGTTTTAGCACTTCCTCAAAAATTATGCAAATGAGTGATTTGAATAAATTGTTCATTGATGTTCACCTACACTTAACTTCCAAATGCGGTAAATCTGAACTGCCTGGCAGTTACCACCATTAAATGGTAACAATTTCCCATTGATTATGCAAATTAGGTCTTCATTTAAGTAAGCTAGTAATCTATATATCACAATAGTTCCATATGTCTATTATGGAATATAACAGATTTATAGAAATTCCTAATTAATTATTTAATTCCTAACAAATTAGTCCCTGATTTGCATAATTGTCTTCTACTAATGCCAAGCATCACTTTAGCTACCTATGTACCTATGTACCCTCCTTTGAAGATTCTCAAACAAACTGCCCTGAAGTTCCAGAATAAGCTGCTATCTACCACCCAAAATTCGTAACCTTAGCATGTCCTGATTGTGAGATATTAAAACCGGAAGTTCTGCTGCAGTACCTAGGAAAGCCGCCAGGGGTCCAAAATCCAATCATTTCTAGGTCTTATCAACATCTACCCAGCTACCATCTTTTATGACAATTCATCAAAAGCTACTTGAGTAATCGCACTAAACCACATACGCATATACATACACACAAACGCTATGGCGAAGGTAAAAAAAATCATCAATATAACAAAGAAAATAAACCTAATCAAAATGTAACATGAATAAAAAAAGGTTTGTGAGCCATGAGTAACACAAGTGCCAAAAGGTATAGACAAATTTTGTAGACATACAAAAGCTGATGTAAACAAATCAAAATCGTTTTCCATAACTCATGTCCATTTCACAGTCCAGGTCAGCTTTTCTTGGGAGGTCAGAGGTCATTCTAAACTATATGAATAGCTTGCGTGCTCATTCAGAGCAGACTTCAAACTTTTCAATGATGCGAATCGTGTTATATTTTCTGGTATTGAGTTGAAATATTTTACCCCAAAGTAAGCAAATATGTGTTGCCCAGCTGTGGTGTTGAATAAAAGTATGTAGAGTTGTAACGTTTGTCTGGTGTTGTAGCTGTGGAAGTTGTAGTTGTAAGACGTAGTTGTAGTTGTAGTTGTGGGAGAAGGTAGATAATAAGTATGATGGCGCTAGCCCATTTATACACTTTAAGACCATAATACACATGTAATCCCTCCTCCTGTTGGTGAGGTACTGCCAGTTGAGTTTATGGTATAGGTAGAAATTGTAGAAATATCCTGGCGGACCGGTTCTGCAGTATTTGGAGCTGCCACTCTGCTTTAACTTTTGTTGCCTATTGCTCACTAGCATCTTGATTATCATCATATTGATATTCAGTACATTTCTTTACTAGTAGTAAGGAAACAATCAGCTGCTTGGCTTGTTCTCCAGGAGGCTTCACTGCACTAGGAACTTTATCCACGTGCACTTGTTCGTGTCCGGCGTCTTGAAGGCAGCACTCTTGTTTCTGCGGGACTACTTTGGTGACACCAGAAGAGATCTAACTCTCTGGACCCACTTGTGTATCCTTTCGCGACATGAAATTTCCAGTTATGATCCCAACATGCTCACTTTGTCCACACATGAGTCACAGGTAGGGAGACTGATCTCTCCTAGTTGGCTAACGATGTCCATTTCACGTCTTGTTGTTTTTACAAACTTTTCAAGCTCTTTTTCAATACTTCTAACTTTCAAAGTCGGTTATCTTTGAAGTAAAAACTTTATAAGATTTTAGAAATTTTTCAGACTTGCATATATGCAAATTAGGGCAATTATTGCATGAATGATGGATAAATAGTATTGTTGTCGTGGTATGACATGATTTAGGCACGGAAAATAGGAAGACGGACATTCAAAAAGAATATACAAATTAGTGTAGAATTATACCACTACACCGTAGACAGTAGACAGGAAAATCTATAGATATAAAACTTAGAAAATTATTATTTGCATGAAGGATTAGAACCTGAGTGTCATTACGACATGAATCAATATATGATACAATGACTGAATTAATGAATGTATGTATGAATTAATGAATGAATAAATCATTTCGCTTACAACGACGAAAAATATTAGCGTTTAAAAAATGCACACGTAATAAGGATTAAAACTCGTAATTAACTGACGCGGTTTAAACTAAGTGTGGTATTTACATATCAATATTGAAAAGGTCGAAAATCATCTGAATCAGCCTTGTCAACGACATGGCGCGAAATCATTTGTTTCGAATATTCTGTACCCACCCTGATAGTTTTACTACAAGGCCATGCAAATGCAAGATTGGCGTCCATAGGAATGTAAGCATATCACAGACACAAGACCGTCAATGACCGGTGCTGTTTATTATTACTCCGTGAAGGAGGTCAGGACCTCCGGACGGAGTGTTGTAATCGGCTGATTTTTCATGTTCGCAGTCAAAACACTGGGTTCTCTTTGTGTAATCGGCACGCAATTTTATACGCCGTCTGCGGGCATGCCCGTGTTGATGCACGAATGTGTATTTTTGCCGTTGCTGCTTTCGCGGTCAATGTAATATCGCAGACGCACCCCTACAATTACGAGGCGAATTGGAATGGTCCAGAAAAACGCGTTGTTTGGAATAGCAGTGGGGTTCAAAAAAGTTCATGCAGATACGGGGTGGTTTTTATAAGTGGTTCCAGATGTTTTTGCCCATGGTTAAGAGATGCCAAGTTTTTTGGAAGATGTTCGCAGCCAAAACGCATTCTTCCGTACGTCGCATTTCTGTGTAATTTCGCATGTGGTGTTGCATTATGTCCGGGATGATGCACGTCTTTTTATTTTTACCGTAGCTGTTTTGATATTGGAGTAAATGCTTATTTTCGAAACATCCCCATTTCTTTGAAATGGTTTCGTCCGTTTATGCAACTGTTACTGCGCTAATGACGACCAGTCGCGCTGTCCTGATACACCGCGAATGTGCGAGTGTTCCCTGTAGACAGTCCCGGGAGTCATTTTTTGCACATTCCAGGAGCCAAACCAAAATACGTTCATGAACCGAGTCCAAAAAACCGAAACGTGAAAATCGGATGATCGGACCTGATGTACATTTCTCTTTCTATAGATTGTACACACAATACACACATCTTTAGATAATCTGGCCATGGCAGGTTAAAAAAAAAGTAACCCTGAATCATACTAGATTAGCGTAAATGCATGTTAATGCGTTCAAAACAAGAAAAAAATTGTTTCCGGGTATTAATCTCTTGAATCACGGCGCTGAATATTGACGCAAAAATATTTCGGGCATCGCGCGCCCTTCCCGCGTCACGTGTAGGCATCTCGCATCTCTGATTGGTTGTTGCGTCTTAAGATGACTGAGCCGACGCGCGTTTAAACAATTTTTCTTTGTTCGATTTATCACACTTCACAGAGAATTGTCGCCAATGGCTACTTCTTTTTGTTGCAATATATAATACTTCACGGAGAATTGTCGCCTATGGCTTCTTGTTTCAGTTCAATTGCATTGATTTAGTAACGTCATATTTTCAACGATGCCTACGTCCTCTTATTCTTTAGGTTGGATGTAAAGTAGCGAACAGCATGTTCCACTACGCCACTTTGGCCATGTACTTCTGGGTACTAGTGGAGGCCCTGTACCTTCACAACCTCATCTTCGTGTCCGTCTTCTCCGAGAAGAAGACTTTGAAGTGGTTTGTCCTGATGGGATGGGGTGAGTTCACAGCACCTTGCAAAAAACCATCTGATCATCACATACACAGTACAGGTATACAGCTTTTGAAAAAGTGACAATTGTCTCGGATCGATGGCTTTTTTCAAGTTATCTTTTTTCCTTGATGTGTTTGTTATGCAAAAGCTAGTTTAGAAAGTATTTTAAAATGTCTTCTCGTGGGCAAATTATAACTACCAGTTCTTCGGTAATACAAGCTACTAAAACCATGGCAACAAAACTAAAACGGACTCAGAAGTATTATGAGCGCAAGCTGGGCAAGTTCATTCACACGTGACAAGCCAACCTGATTGAAAGATGTTATTATAAAGTGTTAAGAATCAACTAAACTATTCTAAAGCGTTTTAGTTGTTTGCATTCGACGATCCGTTCGTTTCTACTGATTGCAGGTTACTGACTCATGCTGGATTTCTGTTTTTGCACGAAAAGTTAGTTTGTAGTGCGATTGTTACCTCCATGAAAAATGGAGGTATTGTTTTTGGCGTGTCTGTTTGTATGTCTGTCTGTTTGTCTGTCTGTGTTTCCGCAACTTTGTGGTCAGCATAACTTCAGAACGCCTTTATGGATTATGATGATATTTGGTATGTTGGTAAGTCTTGGAAAGACAAACGTCATGGTCAAATATGGGCCTCCTGGTGGATGACCTTGGTACTGCAGCAGAACTTCCGGTTTTGTATCTTTTGTCCTGAAAATGCTATGGTCTTGACTTTTTGGTGGCAGATAGCTTTTCCTGTCAGGAATAAGTGGTGTGAGTTTGGTCCCCCTAGCAGCTTGTTCTGGAACTGCAGGGCACTTTCTGGCGAAATGTTTAAAAGCCAATAAGTCCAGATAGGAACAACGTATTTTCATGATTTTTGGTGTGTAGGTAGCTGAGAGAGAGATGCACATGATTAAATGCAAATTATGCAAATGGAGACTTAATTTGCATAATTAATGAGGAAATTCTATGATTACAGTGTTTTACATTATACTACTTTCATACATGTAATGTATGTAACCTATGGCAGGCAGAACATCAACAGATACTAATTATGCAAATGATGACCTAATTTGCATAATTTATGCAAAATTTCTATGATTTCTTAATGGTGAATAATGGGAATGTCATACTTGGGACATCTGTAAGTTAATCAAAAGTTAACATACATCACGACGCATATATCATGTTAATGCGGAGGTAATTTGCATAATTAAAGAGGAAATTTACATTTACATATCAAGCCCATATTTCATGGAGGTATGAGATCTCGGAATTCTTGTTTTCAACGTACTGGACACCGCACGATTCAACTACGCTGTCTGTATAGAAGAAAATTAGTTGGAGTTTTTGCCGTTTTGAAGTTTGGATCGCCGCACATCGCAGGGAAGAAAACAACCTTTCGCCGCCAGACTCACCAGGCCAATTCTCCTCTCCTTTTTGCCGAATTCTATGATCCAAATTTCCGTAGAAAGACATGGTACAGGCTAGGTAAATAGTATGTTGCTTCGTTCACAAAAGGACTCTCTGACCACTATAACTATGATAATCATCTTCAAAAAACCTACACTATACACACACACAACACCCAACAAAACAATATCACGCTGTCGAAGGCATGAGCCCTCCGAACTCTATTTTTGAATAATTAATACAACACAAAGATATAAATGAAATTTTAACAGAAAAAGACTACACATAATTTTGACATCCCCACTAAACGTGGTACTGTTCCAATGTCATGTGGTCACCGCAGATGATTAGATGATCTTTTTTGTCCACACCATCTTGTTTCTCGTAACATAGAATGTGATTTTTTTTGTGTGCCAATTTGTGTCAAGAACCTGTGTTGGTAGGATAGGCTATATGATGAAAACGTTAACACACTTGGTGTATGATGACTACGGTGTATGATATCTACGCTCGCTTGGTGGTTTACTCGGTGGTTATCGCACCTGACCAGGGATTATCTCACCATGTACACCTTGGGGCGGGTCATTAACCCTTTATTAGCACATGGAGTCAATGTGAAAAATACCTCTGGAACCTGGAACTAATTTTTGTATATTTTGTTTATTTCTATTTGCGCTTGCGTATACAATACAAAACAATACAGAAAGTAAATATAATAATCGGACGAAACAGAATATAGAATAATTAACCTAAACAGAATTAACGTGCTGGAGGAGGAAGAAGCCTTAGGGCTTATTCTTGTCCCAAAACAATTAAAAGCATAATAATAATAGTAATAATAATAATAATAATAACAATAACATGTAATGTTTTGGTCAGGGGTGCCCATGCTGTTTATCGCTCCCTGGATTGCAGTCAAAGCAGTGAATGATGACGGGAATGACGGGAAGTAAGTTCTTTCATTTCATTTGTACATACAAGGTAACTTTCGAAACAATACGATCCAAAAATTCACAATTATGTTGTTCAAGAATGGACTGCATTTTTGCGAAGCATAATAACAAGTGCAAAATAACAACTACTAAATGTTCCATGTCTGTCCAACCACGTTAGCTATGGTTTTGTTCTGTTAACTTAAAATATGTACATGTAACATGTAGCACGTAATATTGAGCAAACGTTTTTGGTCTTCCAGTCTTTGTACAATAGGACTTACTGATCATGAAACTATGTACACATAAATTTTTACCGTTTTATTGTAGAAGCTTGACGGCAACAATTTATAGCGAGGTATTTCCTGTTAGTGTGTGCATCGGTTCGCCCAAAATTCTGGATGAATGTATTTTTAAGCTAAAAGACTAGGCTGGCTTCCCTGGACATACATGTAATCATCGGCTTGGAAAGCCCATACAGACACCCTGAAATTTAATTAAGATTATATGGACATCCTCTGTGAACCCCAAAACTAACGCGAGCGTTGACCTCATCATGAAATATACGTGGCAATTATGAAGGTTGAACAAACGACTGAACACAAAGAGTATGGTAAGGCGAAAATGGACTCTTCCTTTTTTATTTCTTCACATTTTCTTCTTTTCCCTTGGAATTGATTTAGGCATTCTACAGTGTCGTTTTTCTTTCAATTTACGGCATATTGCTAATTTAACGGATGCTTTGTATAAATAACAGTATGGTCGAAAACTTTTTTGGAAACGGTTGAAAATTCACACGCGGCGGGAGCCAGCCATATAATTAAATCAATATGACCTCAGCTTTATATACTGTAAACATGATCAGTTACTTATTAGCACCAGCACACATTAGCCTAAATAGGTCTGAAATACGAAAAGCGTTCATTGGCGTTAAACTAAGTCATTTTAATGATGAAAATCAAACTGTTCTCCAACTAAATATTAGACTCGCCGGAATTTTCGACTGAATTGCTCGGTTTTCACCTGCTTTCTGACCGAGTGCTGACGTCACACGTGGGATGAAATCACGTGTCTACAGCACTTGGGTCAGAGTTTTTATGAAACCGAGGTATTCTTGTCGGAAATTCCGTTGAGTCTAATTCCTCATATCAGATTAACTTTCATGCTAACCTAAGTCACATCTTGGGGTCATGTGGCGTAGCGGCAGAGTGCTCGACTCGGAACCAAGAGGTCCCGGATTCGAGTCCTGATATACCACCGATCTTGTGCCTTTAGTAAAGGCACTTTACCCGACTTTCCTCACTTCGCTCAGGTGAAAAAAATGAGTATTGTATTGTCCCCTGTGTTGGTGGCGGCATTAACCCTTGTCCTGCTGGCAATTTTTACACAATATTTTCAAATAATTTCATGTCTTAATCAGGTCACAGACCCTTGACTTTTTTTGCCCTGCGGCGGCGTAGTTACTTCCGCATTCGTTGCGTTTCGCTGCGGTGTGATGCGTTGCACGAGAAACACCCCCAAATCGCACATATACAGGGCACTTTATAGATGGTACTGTATGTGCAACCCATATATATATGGGCCCCGCAGGACAAGGGTTAATATAAGTAGAAAAAAACTTGAGTGTGCCGTCACCACGCCTTGTGATTACATGAGTAGTATATAGTCGACACGCTGCTATTATTTATTCAGGCGGTGCAGGCGGTGCGAGGCGGTGCGGGTCAGAGGTCACGATCATTATGCTAAGGATATGCAAATGTATGCAAATGTAGACGAATGTATGCAAATTTTAGCTAATGAGCTAAATTGCGGGTCAGATAAAGGTCAGTGTGCACTTTTGACCCCGGTAACCTGGGAAACCTGTCGTCAAGGCAACGATTTTTGAAGGATGATACCACGCCTACCGACATTGTTACTTTGACAGTAAGCTATTCAACATGACAGCGGGACCGTCGGGATTGCATCATGAAGTGGGGGCGTGGTTAAAGTCAACGTCTGTAGTAGCTGATTGGCCGCATGGCAAGCGTTGGTGACTTGCTCTGAGGATCCGGAGTAGTCGATTGGTCTGCGTGTACTTTACATGTGAAGTAGGTGACGTACTTCACGGCGATTGGTGGACGGTCTGTGGGTGTTGGTCAGAAAATTGTATAAAGTGGCAACAGAAACCGGCTAGAAACCAGTCCCACTTGCGGAGACAAACCTGCGTCCAAGTCCAAGTCTGTCGACAGCGAGCGAAGATCGAGTATGTATGGGTATGCGTGTGTATGTGCATATATACATTTATCGATATACATATATCGATATAATCGTGTTGCTCCGGAGTAAAATATTACTCCGGAGTAAGTATTTTTGGAGTAAGATATTACTCCGGAGTAACTATAACTCCGTTTTGGAGTAAAATTTTTACTCCGGAGTAAGTGTATTTGTAGCAAGTAAGTATATTTGTCGTGGTTGCCCGTATCGTGTATCCTCACATGCATGATGTAAAGATATATATATATATATATATCGTATATGCATATACATAACAGTCGGAGTATGTGTGTGTGCGTGTGTGCGTGCGTGTCTGTATCTATTTATACATATATCGATATAAACGTGTTGCTCCGGAGTAAAATATTACTCCGGAGTAAAATATTACTCCGGAGTAAGTATTTTTGGAGTAACATATTACTCCGGAGTAACTATTACTCCGTTTTGGTGTAAAAATTTTACTCCGGAGTAAGTTGATTTGTAGCAAGTTAAGTATATTTGGCATGGTTGTCCGTATCATGTATTCTCACATGTATGATATCGATGTGTAGATATATCGTATATGCATATACATAACCGTCGGAGTAAATGATTACTCCGGAGTAAGTGAACTAGTGGTTCATATCTATGTCACGTATGTTTGTGCCTCATGCGTGCATACATCGATACAACGACGCAAAAGGCAGTAGGGTTCGTCACACTTTATTGATCACTTACAGGTCAAGACTGTTCCGAAAAACTCGCAAGACAGCGTATGTCTTGTCATGTAGGTATCGCTGTTACATTAGGACTAGTTGTCCTATCGGCAGAAGGACGATGCTGTATTATTTCAGAACGAGGTAGCCGTATTTTGTCATCAATTTCTGCTCTGGGAACCAGTTCTTGCTGTACTCGATATTGTAACCGTAACGAGGCATGGCAGCAAACTCTACAAAATAAAACTTTTTGCCAGCGCGTTTTGTCTCTTTGATCACGCGTTGAGGGACATCGCCTGGTTCGTGCTTGAGTGGAATGGACCAGTCTCGATAGAGCGTCCACTCTTCCTCGTCACCGCTGCCGTAGCCGTACTCTTCACTTTCATCATAAGAAGCCGTGTTGGAAGAAACGTCCGAGTCTGCATCACTCTCAGAATCACTTTCATCGCTGTCGGTTTCTGTCACTGACTCTGCCTCCTCAGAGTCCACCACAGATTCATCTTCGTCTGAGACAGTTATATTACTTCATCTTGTGACACGGTCGGTTCCTCGTCCTCTTCGTCTTCCTCATCGCTTGATGAATCAAGCGCGTCAGTGTCATGTTCATACGATATGTCGGAGTCGTCGTCAAAAACATCGCGCTTTCGGTAAGATCCTGTCTCGGGATCTACGACGACTTCCCCC